GTTCAAGCCGTGATTTGTCATAATTGTGATGATTATGGCTTACAGCTCATGAAAACCCCAAATCCACAATCTCAGAAAATTAGAATATTACATGCAACAAATAAAACAATGATTGTACATAGAACAATATCGGACCTCTGAAAAGTATAAGCATGCATATGTACTCAGTTCTTGGTTTGGGCCCCTTTTGCAGCAATTACTGCTTCAATGCTGCGTGGCATGGAAGCTATCAGCCTGCGGCACTGCTGAGGTGTTATGGAAGACCAGGATGCTTCAATAGCGGCCTTCAGCTCTTCTGCATTGTTTGGTCTCATGTCTCTCATCTTTCTCTTGGCAATGCCCCATAGATTCTCTATGGGGTTCAGGTCAGGCGAGTTTGCTGGCCAATCAAACACAGTAATCCCACGGTCATTGAACCAGGTTTTGGTGCTTTTGGCAGTGTAGGCAGGTGCCAAGTCCTGCTGGGAAATGAAGTCAGCATCCCCATAAAGCTCGTCTGCAGAAGGAAGCATGAAGTGCTCCAAAATCTCCTGGTAGACGGCTGCGTTGACCCTGGACTTAATGAAGCACAGTGGACCAACACCAGCAGATGACATGGCTCCCCAAATCAACACAGACTGTGGAAACTTCACACTGGACTTCAAGCATCTTGCAGTGTGTGCCTATCCATTCTTCCTCCATACTCTGGGTCCTTGGTTTCCAAATGAGATGCAAAAGTTGCTCTCATCAGAAAAGAGAACTTTGGACCACTGAGCAACAAACCAGGTCTGTTTTTCTTTAGCCAAGGTAAGACGCTTGAGAAGAGGAATGCAACATTTAAAGCCCATGTCCAGGATCCGTCTGTGTGTGGTGGCTCTTGATGCACTGACTCCAGCCTCAGTTCACTCCTTTTGAAAGGCCCCAACACTTTTGAATGGCCTTTTCCTGACAATCCTCTCCAGGCTGCGGTCATCCCACCTTTTTCTTTAACACTTTTCCCTTCCACATAACTTTCTATTAATGTGCTTTGATACAGCACTTTGGAAACATCCAGCTTCTTTTGCAATTACCTTTTGAGGCTTTCTCTCCTTATGGAGGGTGTCAATGATGGTTTTCTGCACAACTGTCAGGTCAGCAGTCTTTCCCATGATTGTGATTCCTACTGAACCAGACTGAGAGACCATTTAAAGGCTCAGGAACCCTTTGCAGGTGTTATGGTTTAATTAGCTGATTAGAGTGGGACACTTTGGGGTTTATTTACTAAACCTGGTTGACTCAGAATCTTGGGCACCTGTGCATGGTAGCCAATCAGCTTCTAACCTTAGCATGTTCAGTTAAGCTTCAGCAATAAAACCTGGAAGCTGATTGGTTTTTATGAAGAAGTGGACAAGATTCTGAGTCAACCAGGTTTAGTAAATAAACCCCACTGAGCCTAGAATATTGCACCTTTTCACAATATTCTAATTTTCTGAGATTGTGGATTTGGGGTTTTCATGAGCTGTAAGCCATACTCATTACAATTATGAAAAATTACGGCTTGAACTATCTTGCTTTGCATGTAATGAGTCTATCTCATATATTTCACCTTTTAAGTTGCATTAGTGAAATATATGAACTTTTGCACGATATTCTAATTTTTCGAGTTTTACCTGTATATATGGAGAAGCTGCTAACATCCAATCATATACCAAAATGATCAAGGATAAATGAGATAAAAGGAAATGATGCAGTGCTACTCCAAAGATACAATTATTAAATAACTAATACATACATATTATAAATAACTTCCAGCGTGGACGCCATCTTGCTGCACCCAGCAAAGCATACCCATGCAGATACACCCAGAACATGAGGTTCTAAATGCTTGTTTGCTAAGGATGACAATGTGAGTGCAAAATTTGGATTACTTTGCTTACTATTGATTACAATAAAAGGTAATACACTATGGAAGGTTCTACCTATGTTTTTTACTGAGATACTGGCTTACACCTATTATACCTGGAGAGGATTTTGCCACTTACACGCACAACCCTGAGAGGGAAATCGCTGCAGGGAGAGATATCCGGAGATTGAGGAATCATATACATGGAGGATCCGGTTTAGTGATCCCAAAAGTGTTTTGACCCCTGAGGGTCGAAGCAAGGAGATGAGCGGCTAATCTGGCTATTTTCGGATACCTTCTGTGGTTACCCACATCCACTATCCACATGCACAAGTGTTGTTTCGTCTACTGGATTATATGGTGTTGCTAGCACCAATTCTAGACAATTTTTTTACATTTATTTGTAGTTTTGGGTCATGTGTTTTTTGCATGATATAGGCACACAGATATTTCTCACTACTGCATTGATTACACTGTTCAACAAATTTTTATTTTTTGCCAGTTTTGGAAACAAAAGGATCCATTTCTTAATGAATTTCACATTCTGAGTTCAAATATAACAATGAAATTTGTCAATTGGCTCTAGTTTTTCTGTAAACGGAAAGTTTTTCTACTAGAGGCGTAATGACTACATAATGCAGAATAATTATATAGATAGATGTCTTTCCACAAATATAAAGCAAGTGATATTGACTACATAACAAAGCCTAAATGGCATAATATATTGCATAGGATTACCAAGAAAAATTATAGCCATAAGCTAAGTTGAATCATTTTAATACTTAGGATTCTCACTAGTTTTGTCTTCAGTTTGTGTCGGTTTTGCTTCTCTTGGCTTTTCTCTTGTATTCGAGGAAAGGGCTATCTCTTACAACTGCACGTGACTACACGCTTCAGGTTCTTCCTCACTTGACTCAACCACGAAGGATTCTGGTGCTTTAGGAATTGGTAGCCCCTCTCCATGAGGAACTGGACGTATTGCCGATGGAATATTTGGATAGTGCACAGATAACTTTTTCTTCTTATTTAGCCCTTTTACAATTGGAGGCACCATACAAAAGTAACAATTACTAACATGATCTGTTGGCTCTCTCCAAATCATTGGCACAGCGAAAGGCATAGATGCCTTTTTTCCATTCAACCATTGCTCCAGTGCCGTCCCACAAGAATTGCAGCATATATGTGGTGCCCAGCTCTTGTCCTGGTCTCCTATCTTGCAGCCAAAATACAAGTTGTAGGCTTTCTTAATCATTCCTGTTATCCTCCTTTTTTGTGAGATAAAAGTTATTTCACCGCAGATATAGCAGAAATTATCTGCTTTATTCACACAAGTTCGAGGCATTACTGAGTAGCCTATATAAGCATAAAACGAAATGTAAAGACGCTGTCGAACTACAATCAGCTACAGATGCTGCAGCTTTTATGCAGTGAAGTGATGCAATTAAAGGCTAATATTGCATCATCTCAGTATACATGCAATTTTTCTATTGGTCACCAGTATCAATTGCGCAATATGCAGCTGAAGTTGCATCATAATTTTGAATGGCTTACGTCATTAGATGGGTGAATATATCATGGAAACTAGAGCCAATCAACATTTTTTAGGGTCATTTTCGTTTTCAGCACCCCAAAAATTATGTAAGATTAGCTAATTTTATGCCCAAAACTTTTTACCTGTTAAACAGTGTTATTGGTTGGCATTTTTCTGTGTATGGAAACACTATGTAGTGCTTGAGATTTATTTAATTTTTTTGCATGATTTATGCACTTTTTGTATGCACTTTTATGCATTTCTTTTGATTTGAGTCCAAATTTTGGACATGTCACTTATTAGTCCACATTTGGACTAAGTCTATATATTCTTTTCTGTCTACATATCACTTCAGATCCTAATTTAGGACTTATGCACATTTATACCATACGTTTTAGTATTGGTTTATACAAGTCTGCTACTACCATCCTTGAGGTGGTGCAGTATTCACTATTGGTTCCACTGAGGATCGGGTCACGGTTATACATTTGAAGATCATTGGAGGATCAAGCCACTTTTATGCTTTCTTGCACATTGTGTCACTTTATTTATATGCATTTATATTTATTTATAAATATGTATGTATTAGTTATTTAATAATTGTATCTTTGGGAGTAGCGCCGCATCATTTCCTTTTATCTTATTGTTGCAAAATGCTGCTTTTTGCGTTTAAAAAAGTGTCTGACCCTTTCCGAAAACGCAGCTGCTCAAAAAACCACACATGTGAACGTGTCCCATAGGAAACCATGTTAAATGGACTGTAGTGCGTTTCTGCAAAAAAGCACTAAAATACGCTTTGGTGTGCACCAGGACTCAGGGTTTACAACCACTTTAATGAGGTATCAGTGAAAGCAAAGCTACAATAATATGAGGCTTTTTATCTCCCTGGAGTTTAAAGCTGTTTATTAGAGGAGGCATAGCCCTCTCTTATACCTATTTATAATACAATTTGGTCATGAGAAACAGCCAATTTATTACCCTTTGAATGAGACATTTAATTATTCCAAAGTACAGCGGGTAACAACACTCATTCACCTAAAACACAATAAACCAATAAATGTATGCTCCGTGAACTGCCTTGTACATGAGTCATCTATTTTCTCCAATTTCTTTGATTGCTAAGAACAAATACTCCTAGAACAGTGATTTCTGAGACCACAAACACTAAACTAAATTCTCAGTAAGCCACCTCTGATATTTCTCCAGGTTTGTGAAATGTTAATAATTGAGTGACCAGGAAAACAAGCCCATGAATCACAGGCTACAAGCAAATGTTAACCGAAGCATCATTCCTTCCAAGCTGAAAAATAATGAATTTAAACGCATACTGCTGTGTATTTTGATTGCTGCTTTCTGTACTGCTGTGTGCTGTCATAAAGAACTAACTGAAAGATGTAGATATTGCAATAATAAAGTGTCACGAAACCTAAATAAAAAAATAGATAGAATTTACCGTATCGTCTTCAGCACACATATCAATCTGTGTGATTAGACATGGCTGCTTCCATATCAGTAAAAAAGAATTTCAAAGCTGTTTAGTAAATGAAAAAAAAAACAGCACCAAGAAAGGTACTTACCATGAATGAACTGTGTCCCCTGTGCTAGTGGCTGCTGTGCTCGGTGAAATTCTAATGCAGGCCATAGACGGTTCGTTTATCGGCAGATTTTTTGTCTGAAAGAATAATCGGCCGATTTTCGCACTGTTAGCAGGGCAATGACATCAGCCGATTTTCGCGGTTCCTCTTCAACTTCATTATCGGTCATGCTGGAAAATTCATGAAAAACGGCCAATTTTTGCAATCATTGGTGGCAACATCGGTTTACAGAACAAACGATGTTTCATTTTTCGGACGAAAAATCGGCCGATAAATGAACTGTCTATGGCCTCCATAAGTCCTCTGCCATAGGATACCCCCACAGCAGTGATCTTCTGGTGCCAGGGGGCTGATTTACGCAGCTGTGCCTGTGACAGGCACTTGTCAAGTTCTGACTATGCCTGCCCTTTCCACCCCTTTGCTCCATTCAGAGAAGCCATATTATCGGTTCCCATATTGATAAGCATTCTGTGATTGGAGGAGGAGGACCTTTCATTTATCTGCCCATTCTTCATTCATAGAACGCTTTTTATTGTGCAAACCAACAATATGGCTTCTATGAATGGAGCACAAGGGAGCAAAGGGCAAGCATAGTCAGCACTTGGCTATTGAAGAAACGCCAGCCCAAAATGGAACTGTGTTATTCTGGTAGCAATTGGGGAGAAACATAGGTAGCCCAGTATTTAATTGCAGGAGAGGAGCAGTTGCAGACTCACTATGCTGTTGCTGTGTTTATCCCCAAAAGACTTCTACACAGAAACAGCCAGTGTTATACCTACCTCCATCCACTAGAAGGCTCCTGGGGAACATGGAGTACAAGAGAGGCTTAAGAAAAATCATAGAGGATTGTGGGAAGTGTAGTATACAAGAGAGGCTGAGCTTTTACTACAGGTTGGCTGGAAAACTACAATTCCTAAGGGAGAGATATTAAAGTGCTGGGACAACTCTGATTTTCCAGGGTTGAAGGAGCTTTTTTTTTTCCTACAGGGAAACTAGCACTAATGCCGACCATAACACATCTGAATGTAGTTTGAGTAATGAGCTGTCATGTACCTGGTGATGGAGGCCAATGGAGAGAGGGCTTCCCTTGCGGCTAAGTTCCGGACTCTCCTGAGAGTGGGACAGCGGGAGTCAGGCCCAAAGTTGCCCAGGTTGCCTGTAGGAGTGCTGGTTGGTGGTCCACTCAGAAGCACAGCTGGTGCATGGAGATAGGTCTGCAGACAGGAGGCCCCTGTGCATGGTATGCAAGCCCTTCCGGGATTTAGATATTTACTGGGTAGTCGGCTCAAGCCAAGGTGAGGTACCAGGTGGGAATCAGAGCAGACGTAGTCAGATTGGAGAGCCGAGGTCACACACAGAGGAGCAAGAGAGAGAGTATCCGTAAGCCAAGCCGAGGTTAGATCCCCCTGACCAAACTGAGGCTGACGTGTGCTTCTTTGGCCATGCAGGGTACTGGCAGAAATGCCAGCACTTCCAGAACTTCTGCCATGGACAGGACCCTGACATGAGCGGGACATCTTTACTTGAAAACAAGGGAAGCAAAGCAGGAACTATCCATGAACCTTGGATCATGACCTGGACTGTGGGGAGACTACTGTGCAGTAGAGAACCACACATTGAGAATACCACCAAAGAGGCAAGACTTTTGTGCATGGCCCTAGAACAGAAAAACCTCTGCTTTCACAGAACTGGTGAGTGGCCGCTGGCCAACTCTGCACTGCAGCCTAACAGAGGGAAAAACTTGCTGCCTAGGAACACTTTACATCTGCATTCACCAACTCTTAAAGGAGCACTACCTAAAGTGCGCCAGCAAAAGATTTTTGGGCCCTAATGAGCTGACCAGCAAAAGGTTTACTACATGTGGACTTCTAACTGCTGACTGTTGCTGAAGTAACCACCTATAGGCACTCGCAACCCCCCTTAGTTAGGCTGCCCTGTGTAGGTTAATGAAAGAAGTGGATTGTTAAGTCTTTATTGTTTGCAGCTTGCTAATCATCTCAGTTAATCACTACAATATTGCTACTGTTTGATTATCAACTGATGTATGATAATTAGAGATGAGCGAATTATTCAAAAATTTGATTCGGCTGATTCGCCGAATTTGCGGGAGAAATTCGATTCGATGCAAATTTATTCGCCGCGAATTTAACTTATTTAAAGGGTTTCTAGGCTTCAGAGAGCCTTTATATTAGTGCAGAACACTGTACCTTTAATTTAAATGCCCCTGGAGTCTGCTGGGGAAGAGAAATAATACTGTCAGTCAGTATGACATGCAGATGAGTGCCGTCGATCTTAGAATCACCGCACACTTCACTCATTTGGGCAGTCACGGGGCACGACGAAGAAGAAAAAGAAGAAGAAGAAGAATGAAAAGAAGAATGAAAAGAAGAAGAAGAAGAATGAAAAGAAGAAGAAGAGGAATGAAAAGAAGAATGAAAAGAAGAAGAAGAAGAATGAAAAGAAGAAGAAGAAGAATGAGAAGAATGAAAAGAAGAAGAAGAAGAATGAAAAGAAGAATGAAAAGAAGAAGAAGAAGAATGAAAAGAAGAAGAAGAAGAATGAAAAGAAGAAGAAGAAGAAGAATGAAAAGAAGAATGAAAAGAAGAAGAAGAAGAATGAAAAGAAGAAGAAGAAGAATGAAAAGAAGAATGAAAAGAAGAAGAATGAAAAGAAGAAGAAGAATGAAAAGAAGAATGAAAAAGAAGAAGAAGAAGAATGAAAAGAAGAAGAAGAAGAATGAAAAGAAGAATGAAAAGAAGAAGAAGAAGAATGAAAAGAAGAAGAAGAAGAAGAATGAAAAGAAGAAGAATGAAAAGAAGAAGAAGAAGAATGAAAAGAAGAATGAAAAGAAGAAGAATGAAACGAAGAATGAAAAGAAGAAGAATGAAAAGAAGAAGAAGAAGAATGAAAAGAAGAATGAAAAGAAGAAGAATGAAAAGAAGAAGAAGAAGAATGAAAAGAAGAAGAAGAATGAAAAGAAGAAGAAGAAGAATGAAAAGAAGAAGAAGAAGAAGAATGAAAAGAAGAATGAAAAAGAAGAAGAAGAAGAATGAAAAGAAGAAGAAGAAGAATGAAAAGAAGAAGAATGAAAAGAAGAATGAAAAGAAGAAGAAGAAGAAGAATGAAAAGAAGAGGAAGAATGAAAAGAAGAAGTATTCCAGTACAGCAAAAAGTGTATCTGCAGAGAGCTCCGCTATTTCTGACAGTTCTCTGACAGTTCCTTCACATTTACAGCGGTTGAAACATTGTATCTATTTATTTCCGAATAAAAACATCTGTATCCTAAATGGAAACAAATAGATACAATGTTTCAACCGCTGTAAATGAACTGTCAGAACTGTCAGAAATAGCGGAGCTCTCTGCAGTGACACTTTTGCCGGCTGATCGGGAAAAATTCGATTCGCGCACCCGAAGTTGGCTAAAATTCGGATTCGATGCGAATCGAATTTTTCCCGATATTCGAAGCGAATTCCACTTCGCCTGGTTCGATTCGCTCATCTCTAATTATAATCTTTGATGGTGAAACCATTTCAATATAACCTTTCCTTCCTGATATATCCTGGTATAATCTCTTCTTGCTCACACCAATTACAATATACATATCTGATACTTAAACAGGTCTGTGTCATTTTCTGGTGTATATGTGTTGCTGTGTTTAGGGGTAATTATACACACAGGTATCTGCATCTATATCAGCAGCCCAACCTGATGTGCCAGAGAATATAGGACTGTTAGCAGAGTCAAGAGCACAAGAACTGAGAACCCAACACATCAAGCAGCTCCTTCACAGGTAAATGCTAAACACGCTCAAAGTGATATTAAACTTTCAGTTTCTAAGCACTTTCAGCAGCTGATTGAATGACTTACTGAGTATGCAGTTTCTTTATCTTTAAATCCTGCTCTATGTTCCAGTTTAAGGTGGTGTCAAGATCACTGCCCCAGGTTACCGGTTTCAGGGTGGTTCCTTTCTTTTGCAGCTTCCTAAGGAGCCACCCTTGCATGCAGAGACTAGAGTTTGGTTTCCCTACACTGTATGCATCAATAGAAACCCACAGCCCCTTAGCCTAGGATGGCAAGACACGGACTGGCTAGAAACTGCACTGTCAACTGTTACCACTTTCCTGTGAGACCGGAAGTTCAGGGAAACAGCACTGAGAGAGCAGCAGCCAGCAAATGGCAAAAAACAAGTCCTGGAGTAAGTATTTTAACAAATTGTTTTCTGTGGAATAGTTTGTGTATTGCGCTTAAAATAGTATTAAACTTGCAGGGTTTATAGCTTAACACACTGAACACAAAAAATTGGGAACTTATTGATTGTTAAGTGTGTTTATCCCAAGACTGGCTGTTCAGAATTTAAAATTTGTCAGGTAGGACAATACACATAAAGGGATATTTGTGCTGACAGTATATCATTTTGTCAAATAATTTTTTATGCATTTTAACAGTGTATCTAGCTGTTTGCCTGCAGTGCAGAGCACTGAGGGAGGCCCTCTTAAACTCTGATTACTGTACATCCCTTAAAAAACAGATGGAACCCAAGGTTATTTCACCACAAACCTTCTTTGCCAGCCCTCACTGTCAGTTGTCCAGGGCATAATGTCAATGATATGTTCCCATAGGACACTTTTACAGTGCTGCCTCCATGACCACAGACCTCAACAGCTGCTTAGCTTTATTTACATATAAGGGTTACCTCTATGGAAAAAGAACATTTTCTTATTATTTCATCCTTCCAGTATTACTTAAGAAACAAATGTAGACGATAATTAAACTTTGCTGCAACCGCTGTTGATGCTTTCAAAACTCCTGCAATGGTCACCAATTTCACAAGTGGACCAGACTGATTAAGAGCCACAGGAAAGATCAGGTGTCATAATTAAAGAACTGTTTATATTTCACCACATTCATGAGTAATGCAGGCCATAGATGGGTCGAAAATCGGACGATTTTTCGGCCGAAAATAAAATCTGCCGATTTTCGGGATCGTTAGTGGATTAATAGGTCGGCCGTTTTTTGGTATTTTGGCAGATTTTTTTTATTGGTAAAGTTTGAAAAAAATCGGACAATTTTGCCGATGGGCCGATTTTCGCGGCAATGATGGGCAAATCGGCCAGTCTTTTTACCAATAAAAAATCTGAGCATGAGCAGTGACCTGCAAGAGGAAGACAAAAAGAAGAAGAGGAAGAAGAAGAGGATGAAGCTGCAACAATGTATCTATTTGTTTCCGAATAAAAACATCTGTATCTGAAATAGATACAAATAGATACAATGTTGCAGCCGCTATAAATGTCAAAGAACTGTCAAAGAAATAGTGGAGCTCTCTGCAGAGACACGTTTTGCTGGCTGTAGACGGGATGAAAATCGACCAATTTTTTTTACTGTTCCTGGTCCTGGTAACGTCGGACGATTGAACGACCGATTTTTTTTTGAACGGATGGTTTTCTCCCCATCTATGGCCTGCATTAGCTTATGTTTTGAGACATTTGGCTTTCTCTATACTTTCAGCTCAGGTGACTGCTAATTTCTCAGATGCCTCAGATGCTTGTTCACACCAAACTGCGGTGCAGGCATCCCACGTTCCGTGTGCGTTTCCCTCACTATGTTTAAAACACACTGGGTGTTCGATCTGCCGTGGGTGTCAATATATTCCTAACAACACCCAAAACATAGATCACAAACACAGTGGGGTTTATTTACTAAAGCTGGAGAGTGCAAAATCAGACTCACTTCTGCACAGAAACCAATCAGCTTCTAACCTCAGCTCATTAAAATAAACTTCAGCAATAAATCCTGAAGGCTGACTGGTTTATATGCAGAAGTTAGCCTGATTTGCACTCTTCACCTTTAGTAAGAGTTTGTCTGCACTGGATTGCATGGTACTACAGTACCATGCGATTTGGTGCAGTGCGATTTTGAAAAATTGTGAATGTTCTTCTTTTTGTGCAATCCAGTGCGATTTCAGACCATTGAAACAAATTAGCTGAAAATTGCATTTCAATGAGTCGTGCAGGAATCACGAGTTTTAACACCTGCTCCTTCTCCCGTCATATGACGTCCTGTCAGAAGGTGCCGCTCATACAGCCGCGGGGCAGTGCAGCGGCACAATCTGTCAGTGGCTGCATCCATGGGACACAGCTGATGACAGATCGCTACACCAGCCAGTGTCATGTGACCGCTGTGACCAGAGCAGATCACATGACAATTGTATACAATGAATGGCTTCCTTTCATGCCATCCAGTGTATCCAATTGTTTGTTAGCAGTGGTCACATGGTACAGACAGGGCCAATCAAAGCCCATCTGAATCATGTGATGAGCTTTGCCCAATCACAGCTAATCACAACAAAAGACTGAATGAATCAATTTCATTCAGTAACAATGGTTGCTAATATAAATGAAATACATTGATATTAGCAATCATAATAAAAAAATAAATCCTGACCACTTGCCCTATGGTACTATGGTTGTATTGCTCTGGTCATAGTGTGTTGAAAAAAAGTGGTTAAAAAAAAGAAAAAAATGTCATAGAAAAGAAAAAATATTAGAAATATTAAAAAAATATATAGTATTATTTTCTTTACATACTGTCACTTGTCAGTGTCCCTGATCACTACTAATCCAATTATATGATAACGCTGTACTGGACTGGTGACAATATGTAAAAGAAGAAAATTGTGATTTTTTTTTTTATTTCATCATTTTCAAAAAAATTACAACTTCAAAAAACTTGCCACGCCTCTTACTAAATACCTTGGACTGTCTATTTTCCATAAATGGGTCCTTTGGGGGGTATTTGTATTTCAGTCCTCAAGAAATGAGATTGGCTGTAAGTACATCAGGACTGATTGATTGTGATATATATATATATATATATATATATATATACATATATATATACACACCGTATTTTTCGCTCCATAAGATGCACCTTTTTTCCCCCCAAAAAAGGGGAAAAAATTCAGGTACCCACTCCCCCTCCCTCCCCAAAGGTACGCAGTCTTAGTCATCCCCTGTACTGTCTGCAGTCTCTGGTCATCCCCTGTACTGTCTGCAGTCTCTGGTCATCCCCTGTACTATCCGCAGTCTCTGGTCATTCCCTGTACTGTCTGCAGTCTCTGGTCATCCCCTGTACTATGTCTGCAGTCTCTGGTCATCCCCTGTACTGTCCGCAGTCTCTGGTCATCTCCTGTACTGTCCACAGTCTCTGGTCATTTCCTGCACCGTGTCTGCAGTCTCTGGTCATCCCCTGCACTGTTTGCAGTCTCTGGTCATCATCTGCACTGTCCGCAGTCTCTGGTCATTTCCTGCACCGTGTTCGCAGTCTCTGGTCATCTCCTGTACTGTCCGCAGTCTCTTGGTCATCCCCTGTACTGTCCACAGTCTCTGGTCATCTCCTGTACTGTGTCCGCAGTCTCTGGTCATCTCCTGTACTGTCCGCAGTCTCTGGTCATCCCCTGTACTATGTCCACAGTCTCTTGGTCATTCCCTATACTGCCTGCAGTCTCTTGGTCATCCCTTATACTGTCCGCAGTCTCTGGTCATCTCCTGTACTGTGTCCACAGTCTCTGGTCATCTCCTGTAGTACGTCCGCAGTCTCTGGTCATCTCCTGTACTATGCCTGCAGTCTCTGGTCATCTCCTGTACTGTGTCCGCAGTCTCTGGTCATCCCCTGTACTGTGTCTGCAGTCTCTGGTCATCTCCTGTACTATGTCTGCAGTCTCTGGTCATCTCCTGTAGTACGTCCGCAGTCTCTGGGCATCTCCTCTACTATGTCTGCAGTCTCTGGTCATCTCCTGTACTGTCTGCAGTCTCTGCTCATCTCCTGTACTATGTCTGCAGTCTCTGGTCATCTCCTGTACTGTCTGCAGTCTCTGCTCATCTCCTGTACTATGTCTGCAGTCTCTGGTCATCTCCTCTACTATGTCTGCAGTCTCTGGTCATCTCCTGTACTGTCCACAGTCTCTGCTCATCTCCTGTACTGTCTGCAGTCTCTGCTCATCTCCTGTACTATGTCTGCAGTCTCTGCTCATCTCCTGTACTATGTCTGCAGTCTCTGGTCATCTCCTGTACTGTCTGCAGTCTCTGCTCATCTCCTGTACTATGTCTGCAGTCTCTGATCATTTCCTGTACTGTGTCTGCAGTCCATTGGTTCAGAATATTTTTTTTCTTGTTTTCCGCCTCTAAAACCTAGTTGCGTCTTATGGTCAGGTGCGTCTTATGAAGCGCAAAATACGGTATATATATATATATATAAAGAGAGAGAGAAAGAGAAAATTGGCCTGGCAAGAAGGGGGTAAAAGTGCCCGGTATATGTATATGTATGTATATTAAAGTATATGTTAAGGCAAATCTTTTTTTTTTTTTTAGTTTTGGGTAGAATGTTGAAGGGTTAGACCCTCTGTCAAGTTTATATTGCTTTTTGTGTCCCCACTTGGGAGATTAACCCCTCTGTTTGTCCTAATGATCATTGTCACTGAGACAGAAAGTGCTGGGAAATCCAAATTTTAACCACTTTGTGTCCTTAGACCTCAGGATTACGTGAATATACCAGGATATCGGCTGCAGCCATGATCCTGATATAAAATGTATATGCTGCTGCTCCAGGTGGGTCCTCTAATCAGTCTCTTTTACCTCCTTTGTGTTCAGGTGCAAGCACCGCTCATCCAGCCATATGAAACAAATGCAAAGGGATCCAAGAGGCGCAAAACAAACTGAATTTGTTTCCCTGCTCCCACAGTGTCCACCTTTGCTGTATACAGAGTTTTGAAGATAATTAAAGCGGTTTCAGTTTTCAGATGTGCAGCTTCTTGGATCCCTTTGTATTAGTTTAATTCTGGTTTCAACGTTTTTAGCCAGCAAGTGCCTTTTAGGTAAAAATTATCCTAGCAGCTTACATCGACCCAATCACTTTTACAGAGCTTGGAAGGCCCTTGCTGATGCAAGCAGTTGAGTCAGCTGAGCACAGTGGAGGAAGAAAATCTGTTTCTTCCCCTCCACTGTGATGAATGATCCCAGAAGTAACAGGGATCTAGACAATTCCACTCTCGGTTCTTTGTTTACATGGCCAATATCACCAAGGGAGGCAGCCAATCAAACAAACCTCATTTTGATGCGCTGCCTTGGAGGGCAGAGGAGGAATCCGGGGTTTAATAGACCCTGATCTCTCAATAATGAGTACTTGTTGCTGCCCAAGCTATCACAAGGGATGTTGTTCATCACATGTAATATCAATAAAGTTGAATTATGTCAATGGACATACAGAGCCGCCTCGGGAGCAAGAGGCCTGCTATGGTGGCCACTCGCTGCGGGTGGGGGGTGGAGCATCAGCAGGGCACCACAGAAGAGATGGATCAGGGCTACTCTGTGCAAAACCATTGCAAGAAGCAGTTAAGTATAACATGTTTGTTATATAAAGAAGAACTCTGGGATAGGCAAAATAATCATCCATTAGTATACCCCTTATACAAAACACTAAAAAGTCAATACAAATTTTAGAATCCTTACCACTTAGGAGAAAAGTCTAATTGAATGTTCAGGATGTGATTTCTTCAATTCAAAAGATAATAGTACCTACTCTGCCAAGGAGGAGGCGAAAAAGCATGGGTCATGTCATATCATCTCCTCTCTCTCCGCAGTGAATAAAAAACTACATTTCCCATCAAATTCAGCAAATTAAAAAGGTTAAATAGTAAAAGTGTCAGGTAGTTAATTGTGAGCTACTCCCTCAGCTCCCTCCGCGGCAGTGTGCGTGCAACTGCTGGCCTGAGAGTCCCAGTCCGCCCACTATAGCCAGCCACCAGAGATGGAAGTACATCACTGCTTGCTAGAAAGAACTACTGAAGGGAAGTGCCAAGACCCTGGGCTGGGGAAATAGGAGGCATAGCAGCTAATGGTCTTACAAACAGGAAACCCCTGGGAAGTAACATTTATTTGAAAATTACCAGGCTATTTCAGAGCAACTACTGAGTGAACCAGAAGATGCATGACTTATTCAGTGAAGGTAGGAAATCAGCAACTAGGACATGTATAAAAGTATTTGCCTGGAGTTCTGCTTTAAAAACAAAATATGGCTTTATAATCACTTTAACCCTTCCCTAATTTGTCCAAAGGAAAAATAAACAGTTGTGGCTTTATACTTAAGTTAATAAATGCATGCCGGCGCCTCCCTATTAGTGACTATATATGTGAGTTCTTAGAACCAGGACTGTGTGGCCATTCCAAAAATGTGGCCCTGGTAAAGTCACTTGAGGTTTCTTAGAAATTTTATTAAACAACTGATGACATCTGCTCTCACTTCCTCTAATTCACAGCTGATAGGGAAAGTAATGCTTCCTGTCATTTCATGCACTAAAATTCCTATTATTCCCCTTTCTGATCTTTATTTATCCCTATAATGTACTGTGTCTAGAGATCAGTATCACCACCTCTGTTATATCCTGCACATTTTCAAGCCATCTGCTGCACATCTTCTGCTTGAGCTTAGTTAGCACATTCCGACATTTCTCAGAACTTCCGCCATAACATGTTTCACTGATAAACACTCTTCACCTCCGTTAACATTAAAGCCCACCACCACCTGTGATGGGCAAGGTCACATTGCTATATAGAGTATTCTTTACTTCACTTATGTGCTGTACACCTGGCTACCTGTATGTACACAGTTAATACATGGACACCTGGTCACCACCAGGCTATATGTTTTTTTTTTACATTGTGGAATGTTAATCGAGCCTTCCCTGCTGACCAGGGATATTTTTTGAACTTCATTCACACATGTCTGGTATAAAAAGGTAGAGACAGCTGCTGTCATAATAATGTAACAGTATAAGACAGTCTTGCCATGTGGTCAATATTATGAAACTGCATTTGACTCTTGAGCAGGTCTACATATGAATGGAAAATCTGATTGGCTTGATAGTTTCTCTAGCTATCAATCTGTCCAGGCGATAACGTACTTGCATACATTGTTGGCTGTGTTTGAGTACATGAGCACTGAGATGCCAAAAAAGACACATTACTTATTTAAGAAGTCCTATGTATAGGTCCAAGTGTGGAGCAATCATTCAACAGGTCTTGTATTCCTAAGCATCCTGACCTAACTTGTTACCTTCTACTGTGCCCTTTTAAGTAGGTTTTATTCTTCCACTATAGTTAAAGTGGTTCGAAAGGCTCAAGGTTTTTTACCTTCATGCATTCTATACATGAAGGGTAAAAATTTTTCTTCTCTGTTCAGCAGCCCCCCCAACCCCTCTAATACTCACCTAAGCCCCCTCTCAATTCAGCTATCTTGGGACTCCCTCTCCTCACTGGCTGAGTCAGAAGCGGAAGCCTTTGGGCTACCACTGCTGTCAATCACAGCCTGTGAGTCAATGAGACGAGAGGGGGGCGGGGCCCAGTCATGGGTTCATGTGTGAATGGATATACGGAGCAGCGGGTGCCCCCATAGCAAGCTTCTTGCTGTGGGGGGCACCCAACAGAAGGGAGGCGCCAGGAGTGCCGGCGGGGGACCTGAGAAAAGTAGAATCAGGGCTGCTCTGTGCAAAACCACTGCACATGGCAGGTAAGTATAGACGGCAGGTAAGTATAGACGTGTTTGTTATGTAAAAAAAAAAAGCCTTTAGAATAACTTCAAAGTGATACTAAACATATAATATTTAATTGCCATCATCCCGTCTATTTATGTGTAACCACTTGCCGACTCCCTGTAGTACTTGTACTGTGGACAGGCAGCAGCTACAGGCAGAACGACATACTGGTACGTCGCCCTAGCTATACTAACAAGGGGGGCGATGCACGTCCGGGACACCAGGCACAGTGGACTATGGATCCTGGTAATCAGGATCCTGGTGATCATGTGATTGTGATCACATCCCCCCCCCCACCGTCTTCCACAGCTTTCTCATGCGAGAATGCAGCCAGCATTTCTGCTGTCTGACCATAGAGCTGATCGCACCAATCATCATCTCTATGATCTAAGAAACAGGAAGTAAGAACATTTCATCATTTCGATTTCACCGGATATAAATAGCTCCATTTTTAAATTGGGAAAGCATCTGATTACACCGATCTTGGTGTGAGCAGACTCTTTAAGGGCAGAAGAGAGATCTAAAGTCTAATAGACCCCATATTTCTTAAAAAAAGAGTACCTGTCACTGCCTATTGCTATCACAGGGGATATTTACATTCCCTGTGATAACAATAAAAGTGATGAGAAAAAAAAAGAAATGGACAGTGTAAAAATAAAAAAAGCTAAAAAAAAAAAACCAATCTGATCCCCACAACCCCCCCCCCCCCCCATTCCGTGTTGGTATGGAAACAGATGCACCATGCATGTGAGGTATCACCACAAAAGTCAGATTGAGGGCAGTAATTTTAGCATTAGACCCCCCTGTGTAAATCTAAAGTGGAAACATACTAAAGGCTTTTAAAACATCGCCTATGGATATTGGAAAGTTAAGTAGTTTTGTCACCATTGCATCGGCATGCACAATTTAAAGCATGCCATGTTTGGTATCTATTTACTCAGCGTAACATCATCTTTTATATTTTATCAAACAATTGGGCACTTTTTTTTTATTTTAATGCACAAAAATACTATATATTTATATAGTTTTTTTGTGCATTAAAATTTTAAAAAGTGTATTATTTCCAAAAAAATTGCATTTGAAAAAAACGCTGTGCAAATACTGTGTGACATAAAAAATTGCAACACCAATCATTTTATTCTCTAGGGCCTCTGCTTTAAAAAAATATATAACGTTTGGGGGTTCAAAGTAATTTTCTAGCAAAAAAAACTTTTTTCATGTAAACAAAAAGTGTCAGAAGAGGCTTGATCTTCAAGTGGTTAGAAGAGTGGGTGAATTGTGGCATAAGCTTCTAATGTTGGCCCTGAAATGCTAGGATAGTAGAAGAAACCCTACAAACGACCCTGTTTTGGAAAATAGACACTCCAAGGTATTTACTAAGGGGCGTGGTGAGTATTTTGCAGATCTCATTTGTTACAAGTTTTTTTGAAAAATGAAAAAAGAAACAAATATTTATTTCTTTTTTTTCATTTTTAAACCTTGTAACAAAAAATGATATCTGAAAAATACT